TTCTCCTCTCTTCTCCTCTTCTCCTCTTCTCCTCTTCTCCTCTTCTCCTCTCTTCTCTCTTCTCTCTTCTCTTCTCCTCTTTTCCTCTCTCTTCTCTTCTCTCTTCTCTTCTCTCATCTCTTCTCTCTTCTCTCATCTCTCTTCTCTTCTCTCACCTCTTCTCTCATCTCTTCTCTCTTCTCTCATCTCTCTTCTCTCTTCTCTCTTTCCTTCCCTTCTCCTCTTGTTCTCTGCTCTTCTCTTTTCTTGCGTTCTCTAGGTTTCTCTTCTCTTCTCTGGGGTTTCTCTTCACTGTTTTCTCTTTCTTTTCTTCTGTAAAGACGTGTAGACCCATAACCACTGTCGTCCGCATCAACAAATAGCGCCTTGACCTTAAACCAAGCAACCTGATCACTTCCCAATGCCACGCAGGCCCAGTTGCCGCCCTTGATTTACATCCACCTGCCAAAAACAAAAAATCACGGAACGTCACGGAAAATCACGCATGTGTCCAAGTGGCTCCATCCTGAGCACTGAACGGTGCGCCCCTGCAAAAATAGCAATTCACACTGCAAGCGCCTCGCTGCAAGAAACGTGACCCAGTGTCAGTTGTTTTCACGGAGGTACACTTGCTGAACCTGCCAAACAGCAGCTGCAAGTCAAGCCAAGCGGGCAAAATACCTGCGTGAACTTTTGCCAGATCTCGACGGCCACAAATGAGGTTCTGTCAGAAGTGAACTCAGTGGCACGCAGGGACAAACGCGAAAAAAAGAAACAACTTAAGGACCGGAGCAACTTCAGCAGCAGGCGACGGGGCGCCAGTCAAATAGAAAGCCAACAACAGGGCAAACTGAGCAAGTTGCCCATCCATCCCAACAACAAGGTAGCGAACTGCTAAGCGCGCAGAAGTAGAAGGTCTAGAGATCTGGACAGTTTAAAAGGATTTAAAAGGTCTAAATCCAGAGTTCTAGAGGTCCAGAGGTGGAAAGCAGCGCCTGCCACGAAATCTACACTTAAAGGTCCGCCGAGCACTGTCCCTCCCACAAACTCTGCACCTCAAGTTCCACGAAACGCTGCGCCTGCCACGAATTCTACATCAAAGTGCTGCACCTGTCACGAAATCTGCACCTCGAGTTCCACCAAGCGCTGCACTTGCCCCGAAATCTGCACGTCAAGGTTCATATTAAAGTCCTGCCCCTGCCACGAGATCTGTCTGCACTTCAAGGCCCACAAAGCGCTGCGCCTGCCACGAGCTCTGCACAGCAAGGGGCAAGAGAGCGCAAAAGTCACGAGTCACTGCACCTGCCATAAAATCTGTACATCGACATGAACTGAAGCCACTACAGTACGATCTCCTGCGCCTGTCATGAAAAGACGAGGTTTCCCTTGCGCCTGCCACGTAAACTGATCACCAAGTCCCAAAATGCGCACGGCGCCACAACAAGAGCGCAATCTCGAAGAGCAGCCGCCGCGGCCCACCAGCTTCTGTGAGCCTGAGCAGTTGAAATGCACTTCGAAGATCTCGAGGTGAATGAATAAATGGCAGCGAATTAGCCGGACGCTTCGATGAGCACCTCCGATCAGACACCCGTCCTTGGGGACAAAATGAACGTGGGATCCTATAGAGTTGCATTTTCGTCGTCGCGAAATGCGCTTCGGAGAGTGACACTTTGGACAGTTCTCGGGTTCTTGAAATAGGAAGAGCCTGACGGGGTCGATGAACGTAGATACAGAGGAGCCTACGCAGTTCACCAGCCGCTCGTCTCGGCCACAAATAGAAACAAGATGGAGCCCACGAACCCGAATGCAAACACGTTCAAAAAGCTACATATGTCCAAATGACACTCTTGTAGGACACTCTTGTGGGACACTCTTGTGGGTCACTCTTGTAGGAAACTCTTGTGGGACACTCTTACGGGACACTCTTGTGGGACACTCTTGTGGGACACTCTTGTGGCACACTCTTGTGGGACACCCTAGTAGGAAACTCTTGTGGGACACTCTTGTAGGACACTCTTGTGGGATACTCCTGTAGGACACTCTTGTAGGACACTCTTGTGGGGCACTCTTGTGGGACACTGTTGTAAGAAGCTCTTGTGGGACACTCTTGTAGGACACTCTTGTGGGACACTGTTGCGGGAGGGACACTCTTAAAGGACACTCTTGTGAGACACTCTTGCGGGACACTGTTGCGGGACACTCTTGTGGGACACTCCTGTGGGACACTCATTTGGGACACTCTTGTGACAACTCTTGTGGGACACTCTTGCAGGACACTCTTGTGGGACACTCTTGTGGGACACTCTTGTGGGACACTCTTGTGGGACACTCTTGTCGGAAACTCTTGTGGGGCACTCTTGTAGGACACTCTTGTGGGACACTCTTGTAGGGCACTCTTGTGGGACACTCTTGTGGGACACTCTTGTAGGAAACTCTTGTGGGACACTCTTGTGGGACACTCCTGTAGGACACTCTTGTGGGATACTCTTGTGGGACACTCTTGTGGGACACACTCTTGTGGGACACACTCTTGTGGGACACTGTTGTGGGACACTCTTGTGGGACACTCTTGTGAGACACTCTTGCGGGACACTGTTGCGGGACACTCTTGTGGGACACTCCTGTGGGACACTCATTTGGGACACTCTTGCGGGACACTCTTGTGGGACACTCTACACTCTTGTGGGACACTCTTGTGGGACACTCTTATAGGACACTCTTGTAGGAAACCCTTGTGGGATACTCTTGTAGGACACTCTTGTGGGACACTCTTGTAGGACACTCTTGTGGGACACTCTTGTAGCGCACTCTTGTGGGACACTCTTATATGGACACTCTTAACTCTTGTGGGACATGGTTGCGGGACACTCTTGTGGGACACTCTTGTGAGACACTCTTACGGGACACTCTTGTAGGACACTCTTGTGGGACACTCTTGTAGGACACTCTTGTGGGACACTCTTACGGGACACTCTTGTTGCACACTCTTGTAGGACACTCTGGTGGGTCACTCTTATGGGACACTCTTGCCGGACACTCTTGTGGGACACACTTGTGGGACACTCTTGTAGGACACTCTTGTGGGACACTCATACGGAACACTCTTGTGGGACACTCTTGTAGGACACTGTTGTGGGACATGTGGGAGACACTCATACGGGACACTCTTGTGGGACACTCTTGTGGGATACTCTTGTAGGACACTCTTGTGGGACACTCCTCCTCCAAAAGTCACGCTGCGAGGCTGCAAGACGAGCGTTTCGTACGAGACTTCCTCCAAAAGTCACGCGTCAAGTCTCAAAAACGAGCGTTTCGTACGAGACTTCCTCCAAAAGTCACACGTCAAGCCTCCCAAACGAGCGTTTCGTACGAGACTTCCTCCAAAAGTCACGCTGCGAGGCTGCAAGACGAGCGTTTCGTACGAGACTTCCTCCAAAAGTCACGCGTCAAGTCTCAAAAACGAGCGTTTCGCACGAGACTTCCTCCAAAAGTCCAGCGGAAACACCCATCAGAGCACACACATCACGCAGCGCTGCCAAGCAATTTCGCGATTCCAGCCCCTCCAAACGACACCCGCTCACACGCCAATCCCAATGTGACAGCGACATTCACCTCTACCACAACTCACAACCTCCCGATTCCCTGCGCCTGCCACGAATCTTTCCGCGTCCACACGTCTAACGCGCACAAAGTACTGCGCCTGCCACGAAATGTCACCTCCGTCACACATCGCAACCTCACGATTCCCTGCGCCTGCCACGAAAATCCCACTTCCACACCTCAAAACCTGCACAAAGTCCTGCGCCTGCCACGAAAAGTAACAATGTCATCTCATGTGAGCTTCAACAAAATTTGCACCACACCACACGTTTGGAATGATTTCGACCCGTTCTGAGCACACTCCCCTCCGCCAAAATCGGCATTTCAGCTGAGACTTGTCACGAAAACAGAGCTTCGATGCGACACCCTGAAACGCAAATCCCAATGGCACGGCCACATCCAACACCCCAAAAACACGACTCTCCAAACGCTAATCCCAATGGAACTGCGCAGCAATCTGCAGATCTCACCAAACGCTGCGCCTGTGCAGCGAAACGCATCACGTTGCTTGCGCGCCATGTCTTTTTCATGCAAATCACAATGGAATAGCGGCGCAAACTGACACGTGACACATCCATGAAAAGTCACTTGCAAAAGCTTCCCCCAATGGCAGCGCCTTAGCGACCTACTGCGAACGGTTGCGGACGGTTGCGAACGGTTGCGGACGGTTGCGAACATAGAAGCAACGGGTCGCGAACAAGGCTCTACCCCCAGACCCCCAAGAGTTAAACGAGAACCCTTCGCTACGCATTCGGGA